AGGCAACTTCGTGTAATTTATTTTTAAATAAAACAACACATAAACAGCAACAAAGAAGGAACTCTTTTACCAAACATAGTTGTGTGATAATGCCAACATTTGCTCTATGGTCAGTGCTGTAGATAAATTGTGTCACCGTAATTCATCTCAGGTAAATTCATACCCATAGACTGGATAGCGGATGTTGCAGAAACGTTCTGGTTGTTGGGGTCAGACACCCCTCCTTGGCCATCAAGCAGAGACTGGACTGCCAACACGGTCTGGTTGTCCATCCCTGAACATAAAGTAAGAAGAAACGATGGTAGGGAAAACATATACCAATGGGATGGAATGGATTAGCACGATAACTAGCTCTGTTGATTATAAGTTTATAGGGAAAAATAATAACTACTAAAGGACCTCTCAGAACATTATTAAAGTTATCTATAATTAAAAACATGACTTAATAAGCAGGCATAAAGTTTGGACCAGGGATGAAAAAAAAGTAAAAAAAAAAAAAGAAAAAACAATCAATCCTAGTAGTGTTTGCACAATAGAGCTCTGGCACAATTTAAATACTAAAAAGAGCTTGAGCCTATTCGTATTATAGGTCAAAAGCAGGCAGCAGGCACCTTTGGAGTATTAACATAGCTTAAAACGTTTGACATTATATACTACATTCACATCCGTCCCATTCCTCTTTTAATCAAAAAAGAGAGACACTACGGGTTTAACTAACCACGGTGGCAAAACGCTAACTAAGAGAACGTGATTGCAATGGTGCAAAGGAAATACGTGGACAAGGCCGGTGTAAACATACAACACGCTGCTCTGTTACATGTTTATTAAAGTAAACGCCCTGCTGATAATATAAGAAGTATCATACATTCTGAATAATAGAAAAGATACCTGCAATATTTGCCATATATTCCAATGAATTAGAAAGTCTTAAACCCATGAGCTGTCTTTTTTTTAATACTTATTTGTTTGTTTACATTCCCTGCCCCCTGTTTCCCTCGGATGATTTTGCTCGTTTTAACCGATATTTACGGACTCATCGTGTTCTTGTATAACAACATCTAGCAGTATATCAACATTTGCTAAAAGGCATGTTTTAATTTTACGTCCTAGGTGTTATAAGGCTGTAATAAAACAAATGGTCCTACCTTCCAGCACTTCAAATATTGCATGCGCCATCTTGAAGATCTTCCACTGTTCGATCGGCGATCGACTAGGACAGGCTGCGTGTTGACGCGTATGTCATTCAGACACAAGACACATAATAGGATATAAACATAATTATATTTCATGTGCATTAAATGCATTTTTACTAGGCTATACATAGCATTTATTTTAAAAAAAGAAACAAATATACAGCTTCTGTTAAAAAAATCACTGACACTTGGATAGTCAAATATAGTAAGTTGTCTGAGTCCCTTCCTGTGTTTCTCAAAACAACAAATGTTTCTGGGCATACTTTATGTCAGCCAAGGGTCGGAATCAGCTCTGTTGTCCAAGGATTTTGACTCCACCTTTACGTAGCTGTAGTATTTAAATGTGTTCGTGATTTTAAAAAGGTTCTGTTTGTCAAATTGTCTAGTAAACGTCCTGAATCATCTTTTCCAATTGTTGCTGCTTTCCCTTTCTATCCGTCGGTCACTGACATCGTTTTAACTTTATTTTAGATACATTTTTAGAATCTGTTCTCATTGGAGAGACGGACAGTGGTTTATACCAATCACAATGCTCAGATTCTGCCCACAGGAAGACACATCTTTTGGACCAATGGCGTCCATCCATTTCTCCCACGTGCCTATTTCGCGGTAAAAAGGATTTCGCGCGAAAACTCTGGGAGCCTTGTTTAGATGTAGATCAGCTGAGACAATAACAACAATAACAGTCGAAATCGGGGTCGGGGAACTGGGGTGACCGCTCGGACCGCTGCGGCTGTGAACGATTGAAGCACCGGCGGCCGCAGTCGTGAAGGATGCGTGTGTATTCCATCGATTTTTACTCCTATATGTCTCTGTTTTTGTGTCCGACTTTGCTTCCTGCGTGTCCCAACAAAAACGAGGGGGTTGAAGAAGTCCGGCTAATGAGTGAGCTAACAGGCTAATGTAACATAAACTCAGAACTTAAGCATTTTATACGTGTTTTCTGAAAGTAATAGAAGCTATATGATGCTAATTGACTAAGATCTTTTCTAGATGTATCGATGCGCCTTGTGTGGTGTATATATTTTAATATCGGGAGCTTACTTTTGGGAAAGTTTTTGTAGGGTTTGAACTAAACATCTGCTGTGTCGTGGGCAGGAATAATAAAGTGTAGGAGCAGTTGAATGATATCTTATCAGCTGTTTGTTGGTGATCTTAGACGTGTGGTCGGGACTGAAGCTAACTTGTTAGCATTGGTAGCTCGGTGTTGACTGTGTTATAGGACAGTATGTGGCCCAGGCCTCGACCTGTGGTTTTTTACTGTACTGACAGCAGAGATGGAAACAAAAGATTAGCCTGTTAGCTTTATTGCCATTTCATCGCATAGTGTGCCAACTCTTTTTCTTCTTCACATAACAGCGACACAGCTGCTATGCATTTAGCAACATTATTTTATTTGCCAAATGTTCTGTTTGGCACAACATCCTGTTTCCTAGATGCTGCTTTTGTCTACGTAAACCAAACCAAACGAGCTCTGACCTACGTGTGATATTGTATTATTTCCATAGCTTTGTATGTAGTTAACAGCGTGTATAGCACAGGTGAACCCAAGACTAGTGCAGGGAAGACAGTAATGAGATGTTGGAGCAGTATACAGCACTGAAATCGATCGAGCTTTTCAAATGTCACTCCTGTGTTTAAATTGTGTGTGAGACGCACAGTCATAACTTTAACACCCCAGAAATTCTACTAAAGGGGTTTCACGTAGTGAGGGCCATGTCAGAGACTCTGATCTCAGGCCAAACATCCGAGGACCTTCTGGCCGACTTTGAGACTCTGCTGAACTCTGGCAGTATCAACCTGGGCGAGGACCACCAGATAGTGATCATCACCAGCCCCAGCAATGAGGGTATCCACCCGACCATCGCCCCAACCAGCACAGGGGAGATACTGCTTTTTGCCACGCCACAGGGTCCTGCAGATGTCCAGGAGAAGAGGAGGCCAGCTCTGGGGAGACCACCGGTGAGGAGAAAGTGTGAAGGGGAGGAAAGGGACAGATGGTAGAGGGTGTAAAAGAGCAAAGATGGAGATGGAAAACTGAAAAAAACTGTTGAGCTGCAGTCTGCAAAACACAGTATTTTATTCACTGTCCATTCATTTCTCCTAGCACATATAGTTTTTAATATTGTTCGTAATTTCCTGTGTTTCTGATTTAAAAAAAAACAATAATAATAAATAATAAATAATTTTACCACAGACAATCATAATACATATGTGAAATAGATGTAACCATCAGAGACACTGTGTTCACTGTTACATTGTCTTAAACCACAACATTTTGTAAACTATTAAAAAGGCCCAATCTGTAGTAATAAAACAATATTTTTCATCTTTGTGTTAGCACTTTATAAGTAAGATTTATTTTTTTCAGGTGAAAAGAAAGTTAGACCTAGACAGTGACCATCAGTATGTCAGCACAACTCGACCCCCAACATGCCAAGCACCACCATCCACACCTGCTCCACCCAGAGGTATGTACATGCACACACAAGGCCTCTCTCATACACACACACACAACCCTTTTTAGGTTCTTTGTTGTTTTCCAATCTTAACAGCTATATATCGTAAATATACAGTTCGACCTTTGTAAGACTTTTTCACACATCTCTGGAAACAAACAGTTTTTTATTCACTTGTTATAGAACAGTAATTTGTAACATCAAACCCGTTGTATTCAATTCAGAGTCAATTTTTGTCTTTGGGTCAGAAATAATCCTGAATTGAAAATTGCTTTTTCAGTTCCCAGAAATTCAACTGAAAAGTCTCGATATGACACTTCCTTAAACCTGACGACCAAGCGCTTCCTGAACTTGTTGTCTCAGTCAGCTGATGGTGTGGTCGATCTGAACTGGGCCTCACAGGTTCTGGATGTGCAGAAAAGACGCATCTATGACATCACCAACGTCCTGGAGGGAATCCAGCTAATCTCTAAGAAGTCCAAAAACAATATCCAGTGGCTGTGAGTTAAAAAAAAAAAGTTTACTAAAATTATTTGCCAAGAAATTGATTTTTGTCTCCTCCCTGGCAGTGGAAATCGAATTGATACAGCAGTGGTTTCTCGTCATAAGGAGTTACAGAGTGAGGTGTATGATCTCACAGAAGCTGAGGAGCAACTGGATGACCTTATTTCTAAATGTAATCTGCAGCTGCGGTTGCTGACTGAAGATCCACAGAACAAGAAATATCCTTTGCACTATGATCATCCATCACATGATAATATATTTTTGTTCCCCAAAGTAAAATGTTATAATATCTGTTCTTTGCTCTTATGTCTAAAGTCGTGGCCTCTGCCTGTTAAATCTCTTAGTCCCTTGAATTCTTCTTTAGTCCTTAATGGTCTTTACGTTGGGTTATGTGCGCTGCCAGGACCTGAGGAAGTCCTTTGATTCTCCTGACCAGCTGGTAATGGTGATCAGAGCTCCACCAGAGACTCAGATGCAAGTCTCAGAACCCAGTGAGGTGTGGGCCTGAAGAATCAGTTTGAGCAGGAACCAAACCTAGTGTTTTTATTTTGCCTCCTGCATGACTGTTTTTCCTTCTCCACCTGTCAGGGTTACAAGGTGTCGCTGAAGAGCATGCACGGTCCGATCGACGTCTTCCTTTGTCCAGATGACAGCTCTGGTGTTTGTAGTCCCGTGACAGGAAGTAGTCCCACAAAACCAAATAATGACCCCTCCCTCTTCCCATCTCTCACACAAACTACAGACCAGACGCAAGCTGCAACTCCCCCAACTGTCCTAGAGGTTGGTTTAAGGTCTCCAGTGTGCTTGTCTTCCACTGTGGCAGCAGCATCTCAGCACGAGCCCACATCACTGGTGTTAGGAGGAGATACAGGTGAGCGTGTACCTCAGTCCTCAAACAGTCCTCTCTTTTTTTTTTTACTTGAAGCTACTACAAAAACATAGTCACAGTTCTCTGCAGAATTTGCTTAACAATTTATAACCAATTTCACAAAGATTAACCTGTAACCTACTGCTGTAATGTTTGTATTGACAGATTAAACCTTTTGGATTACTAACCTACTATCCTTGCTGCATTAGAGAACTTGTCAAACTTGAATTTAATAGCATTGCCTGTTATATTACCCCTGTAATTACAGTATTTTGTAGCAGAGCAGGAACTGTTTGACTCAAGGTCCCCTCTGCCTGCTTCCCTTTCATTCAATGTAAAGACTGCTGCAGCTGTAGACCTTTTGTGTGAATGGATGAACTGCATTGGTCTTTTTTTATTGGGGTGCAATCTTATAGAAGTGCTGAGCAGCAAGCCCTGATGTGACTTTAAAAACAATGTGCTGCCATTGTCAGGTTCTAGTGTCCACAAGGTCTTAAAAGACTTAAATGTGCGACTTAAGTCATTGAATTGTAAAACACAAACCAAAACAAATCTGTCAGTTATGAAGTAATTTTACTTTCTGCTACAGAATCACTGTTGGGAGGAGATCCCTTCTCTGGCCTTGGAGACATCCCTGACTTTGACCTTTCACCCCTCGCCTCTTCGGACTTCCTGAATGCTGATGGTTTCCCTCTCCCGCTGGACGGTTTTATCACGCTGTCGCCTCCTCATAACCATGATTATCATTTTGGACTGGAGGACCACGAAGGCATCAGCGAACTGTTTGACTGTGACTTTGGTGACCTGTCGCAGGTTTTGGGGGGAGAGTTAGAGACGGAAAGGGGAGAAGGTGAGGAAGAGACTGTGGGAGAATCTTCAGGACTAGAGTCTCTGGTAAGAAGACGATAATGACTGGAAATCATGGTTTTATAGAAAATGTTGTTATAAATGTTGTGACTGCGGGGTGTGGACCATTGTTTGCATTGTAATTGCCCTGTGATCCTGATAATTCCAACCAACAACCCTATAATTGTACAGCACATTCTTAGCACTTCTCTTTGGCCATTCAAACATGTAGCTTTAGTTTAGCTATTTAAATTATTTATATGAATGTTATTTTGGTATTTTCTATCAAATGACGTTTTGTTCTTGTTGATGTTGTTGTTGTTGTTGTTGCTGATGTTGATGTTTTATCCAAGTTGATGTTGCAGGTGTCGTGTGTGTTAGGAGTATGGACTCCTCCAGTTTGGTTTCCTTAACACTGATGACCTAAAAACCTGGTTTCTTGAGATGATTGGCACCGGAAAGTGTTTTAGTTCTGCACGACTCAGACTAGGTTTTAATTTCTTTCTGTGTCCTGATCTTTGAACACTTCTGCTTTTAGGAAACCAGCTGTTTAAGTTGTCTATAGTTATGACCAGGTTTTCTAGAAGCATCTTTGAACTACAGTGAAGTAAACAATGTGTTGGAATCGCAGGTTCACCATCAAAGGTTAAAGGCTCCTCCTTTATAGGTATTTGTGTCCATAACACTTCAATCCTGAAAAACTGGATCCTTAAACATCTCTGAAAGAAACAGTGGGATCTTCAGCAAAGACAAGTTTGATGTACTTCAGTTTACTGGAAGGGACTCACAAGAACATAAATGTTCTGCATTGTCCGGAGTGAGGACACATTGTCGGAAGGAAATCTAACTGAGTTTGAGATGCTTTTTGAAGAACATGATCCCTATGTACCAACAGTTTGTTTATGTATAGATATAACATGACTGCTTAAAAGAATAATGGTGGGAACTGCAGTTTAAGAAAGAGTAATTAAGTAGGGCTGTCACTTTTCATTCATGGATTGAAGATTAAAGGGGTTTAACTTAAATCACATAAACCGAGAAAGTGTTGACTGAAAGTTGTGAGCCCTTCTTTGCACTCTGGTAAAACAAAGCATTTGCACTTATTTTTTTTTTCTGTGAACAAGACATATGACCTGTTCATTGTGTGCAAAAATTACTGAAACAAATCATTACATGTAACATTTATGGGGTTACAAAGAATTTTGAAAAAAAACAAAAACCTTTTGTAGTTATGCCACTCTGTGCCTGTCCAAGAGGCATATACTGACTTAATTAGTCTATAGATTACTAAACACCTACCAGAAGCTTGTTTGATTTTTGCCAGATACAAGGACAATTAATTATTATTATTATTATTACATTTTTAACATTTGGAAAGCCTGCAAATTTCAAGTAGGAAGCTTTTCTTGTGCAGTACTTTAAGGCCTCTGTACCTGTGCAGACTTACTTCACTTACTTCAATACTCTGCTGTTACAGACATTCAACCAGAAGCTAGTGTGCTGTTGACAGGAAAGCCAGTCAGTCACTCTGGTCTCACAAATATGACAACAATGTGTCTAAAAAATAGTCAAATTTTCGATTTAAGAGTTAATATAAGAAGATGCGGTGTTGGTTTGACTATTAATGTAACGATACACTCAACTCACCCGCACGGAGACCAGGGATTTTTGGGTAACAAGTGACAGCCCTACTGTTTATAGGAGATCATGTGACGACAGACCGCCGCAGAAATTAAAGAAGAAAAAACTTTTGAATAATGATTGTGTTGTGTCCTCTTAGATAGGCATTTAGCCTTAGTCTAAGGTGTCTGGAGCAGAGCAAAGTCTTAAATCGATGTTTAAAATGCAACGTGAGTGTTTTAGAAGTCTTTCTTGGGTCATGTGTAAGTTAATTGTTAGATGTGTAGAAGACGTGTGATGATGGAGACTGTTTTTGAGCTTTGCAGTGGCTGAAGTTTACCAGAGGTGCATCTATGTCCTCTTGATAGTCTTTTCCTGTCATTGTGGCGCTTTCATCATTTTACGTCAGATATACAGCACTGATGTCTTCAGCAGAGGGTTAACTGTGGAAGTGATGCACTTGTGAATGGAATTCAAGTGGGACGTGTCTCTATTGTTCAGTGTGTGCACTTCCGATCGGTTCAGGAAGTTAATGTGTATGCCTTAAATCAATGGCCTTTCACAGAGTGAAAGGTTGTAAACCTTATTTTTAACCCCACAGTGAGGACTCCTCCCTGGATGTCTTCTCTGCAGCGTCCCCTCCACAGGCTACTTTCATTGTTTACCTGGTCAAAGTCACATTGACTTTGAATTGTTCAACAATATATCACATGTTCAAACTGTCTTTTCAGTGTGCGGATGAAAACATTCTCTCCTACAAACTCTGTTTTCTTGCTCTTACGCGTTAGCTCGTCATAGGCTGGCTGCGAGAAATAGACGTAGCAATGTGTTTTGAAAGTGAAGCTTTTTTTTAATCTTAAGTTCATGAGACAATGGAATTTCCAAGTACATGTCTAAGTCTCCCTCTGTATAAGTAAGATGGTTTTGTCAATGATGTTCTGAAAAAAGTTTTACACAACCCGTGCTGTGTTAGTTGTTCATTTTTGCTCACCAACTACTGTTGTATATTGGCAAGAATCTGGCGATACAAGCCTTTAACACAAGGGAGTGAATGTATATCTAGTGCTTCACTTAATTTCAACTTCAGTAATACAGCGTTCATTTATATATTGCCTTGCATAACCAGCCTAGCACACCCTGTCCACTTTCAGACAACCTCACTCTTGGCTACGTCCATTTGTTTTATATACAGTTTATGATGCAGACGTATTTTCCATTCTGTGTGTGTTGTGTTTGTCTTGGAGTGTTTGTGTGTGTGTTTGATATACATATAATTGTTTTAATTTTATATTTATTTAATAATGTTTGGATAAAAATATGGTACAAAACTTTTCATTCATTCACTGGATGTTGGGGAATAATATATAGGTATATTCTTTTTTTTAAAATCCTGTCTATTGTGGAAAGGTTTAGCTTCTCAGATTAAAACTCAACTTTGAAAGTATTTTGACACTGAATTCAGTTTGCATCATTTTACATTCACATCTAATTGGGGGAAAATACCAAACACACTGAAAGCAAGAATCCTTACTACAGTGTAAATTGTACACCTTTTCTATACTTCCTCGTAGGTTCCTTAGATTTAGGTGACTGTATGAAAAACTTTTAACCAGCTATTTTTGTCCTATTTTTGAAACTATAAAATCCTGCCTTTGTAAAGTTTTCAGCTGACGGCTTCTTCACAGGCCCCGTACTGTCGGCCTGAGTAGAATGTATCATTAGTTTTGTATTTCCAGCCTTCATCAGTGGATGAAACCTTCATAATTAATGTTTGTTCTAATAATGCAGTTCATGTGTTCATTTTCAGTTCCTCTGCAGGGTGTACATGTGCAGTGCCTTGTGGGTGTTTAAATATGATCTATTCATGAAATAAATCAGGATCTATTTGTCTTTAGAGTAAAATAATGCAGTGTTCTGGGTTTGTTTGTTTTTTCATCAGGGTTTTTCCATTTGGTGGGGACTGTGTTTGTCCATTTAGTCAATGCAATTGTTGCTATTGCTATTTTGGAGTCTTGTGAATCTGAAATTGGCCATTGTGATTTGATTAACACATGGGAATTGACTTCAACCTAAATTCAGTTAAAATGCTTTTAGATTAAACTGTGGTTCATCAGACAACTTGACTATCAGCCTTTTTCATCCAGGGTATTTAAAAAAAACATGTTTGTACTTGTTAATTAATAATACTCAGAAATTTGCCCTTTTGTATTGCATTTTGGCAAAATAAATCATTTTGATTTGACTGATTTTCAAGTGTTACTGTAAACTGTTCTATTTGCTGTGCTTGTATAATGGCTTTTTTAAACCAAGATTAGAAATACTTGAGGCAGCCAAAAATACTCTCACCTTTGCCGCTAGAGGGAGCTGTTCGCCACATGTCAAATACAGTCACTCGGACATAACTTTAATTCGCCGGTCGCATCCGGTCTTTCATTATGTCAATCAAAAATAGCTAAACATTCGATTCGAACTCACGTAAAGCAATATAAGTCTAGTTTCATTAAAACGTTGTCAGAACTAGCATATTTATATTTATTGTCAATAGCTTAAAACTAGTTCTACTTAAAATGTCAACAAATAGCTTAAAAGCTAGATCTACTCGGGACAACGACTTAATATTAAACCGTAAATATCGTAAGGCTACTTAAAGGAGTCATAATTCCAATAACAGAAGAAACTGATTGTTGTATAATATTGTATATTGAGCCACTGAGAGCAGAGGCAGGTGTTTATCTCTGGTAGGTGGAGCATGCCTACCAAGCAGCATTCCTTCACTCACCTGCAGCACCTGTCCCAAACCATGGACATGCAGCGGGCGAACCGGGGCTATGTCGGTGAGTTCACTTTACAAATCATTGTCATACTCAGAGTGTTTGTTTGTTTTTTCCCTTCTCTAGACCATCATATGTGCATGTTTTGAACAATGTTTATTGTTGATTAAAAACCATGAATGCTGTTTTAAAAGGGTTAGTCTTATACAGGTCCCTGCTTCTGTTTAAGCTAAATATACAGTAGAGAGAACTTTAATTACAGTGTAATTAAGGTCGGCGTACGTGACTAAACCTGATACGCTTTTAAGCAGAATGTGTCGATGTAGAGTCATGTATAGTTAGAGCTATTTTTAATGTACTTAAAAAAATCCATATTAGTCAAGTTTAAACTTTGCCACATGTTGTAAATATCAACCATAAAGAGTTTATTTTGGGGGCGTTTCTACCTCACTTGTTTCATCCAACTAATCATTGGAACAAGTTTGCAGAAAATATATTAAACGTTAGACTTAATTTAAAATATGTTCAAATATGGCAGAAAAGTTCATGTTAGGTAAACAATTGTCTCAAATGGAAAACAATGGTCCAAAATATGAAAGCTTAAAACGTAATTAAAAATTACAAAAACAGCAGATAAATGTGTAAGAGAAAATATTGTGATAAGTATAATTTTTTAGACCCTGTAATTTAAGCAAAAATAATTCAAACTTACAAAAAAGGTTTAAAAAGTTCCTACTATTCTATTATAAGTTGACCCCAGAAATTTAAAATATGTGACCAATCATAGAAAAAATAAAAGTTCTTAATTAAGCAGAAAACAGCCACAATATAGCTTAACACACTTAACACTGGAAATAATGAAAACAATTAAGCAAAAATGATTTTTCATCTACGTACTCTATATTTGTAAACTTGTGCCCATTTCTCCCCCTTCTATGTTGTTGTTAGACTAGTTATTAATGTTTCAATGTTCAAAAAACTAACCATCAGAACATCATCTGTTGTTGCCAGACATCAACCGCAGACACTGTAAACTAAAGTTAGTTGACTTTCATATCCATGAAAACCTCGCTTACCATCGGACCGAGGGGCTCAGCAAAAAACATCTGGTGGCCCGACGAGGAAAACCGTTCAAAGTCACACTGGTGTTCTGTGACGGACCATGGAATCCTCGCACAGAGAATCTGGTGCTAGAGGTTTTACTGGGTAAGATCAACCAGGATGTCTCTTGAAATTAACGATAGCATGGCAAAAACATAGAGAAAAGGCACAATCCTTTGACGGTGAGGTTCATCGCTGGTGAGGCACTGACTCCTCTGGAGTCAGATTTACAATTGTAAGAACCGAAAAGAGCATCTTATTTCACTATTCATCCAACAACATCACCTGGTAATGCTTCATAACCATCAGCATTCCTCTTTCAATGACACTGACACCAACTCAAACATATACACAGGAACATATTTGTCCTACAAAGAACGTTTCTTTTATAGAAAATTTTATAGAAGAGTACTGTCTGCCTCACCTGCTGACTTTTCTCTGCACTTTCTTGTACGATTAGCAGGAACAGTTTTCTCACACAGACATTAAAGACATTACACAGACTGTAGAGAGTCATGGTGTATAACAAATATTTCTCTAAAGTTCATATTGGTGATATGCTGAGGAACAGAAACGAACAAGCGTCATGTGACCCAGATTGTATTGGATCTCGCAGTCAGATAAGAGGCAGAGCTCTCCGCTGCCTCACCCGGGATTTCTGCCCTGGATTTGATCTTGAAATACTCAAATTCTGCGATTTTTACTTAATAAAATGACAAAAATGTGTAGAGTCATTCTGAAAATGTATCTTTAACACAGATCAGTGCAAAATATTAATATTTATTTGATGTTTTTTTATCTCCCCTGACCACACATCACTGATCTTTTTCTACTTTTTTAAGTTAGTTTGAGGACAAAAAAAAAACAAAAAACAAAATGGTTAAAATCATTACAAAAGCTAATTTTGTTTAATACAATTGTGATAAAATCGTCTTGTGAACAAAAAATCATGAATCATATCATACCGTGAGATAGGTGCATTGTAAAAAAGCACCAAAAAAAGGAGCAGACCAAAATAAGTGTTTTTCAAAGTAAAAATACATGCAGGCTAACTTAAAATAAAATACAAAATAAAACTTTAATCCAAGTGGTCTACATCCCATAATGTTACCTGACCCAGTTGTTGGGCACCCCTGTGTTATTCGTTTCAAGTACCATATTTTCTCCACAAAGGCAACCTGTCAAAGAGGATCCACGTCCAGATCTCTGACAGCTCCTTCGACCTCCACCACTGGTCAGCCACTCTCTACCCAGGAAACAGGACTCCGTCAACAGTCACCATCCACATCTGCTCCCCAGTTTTATCTGCCGTGGCCCAGTATAACCTGCTGGTGCACTTTGAAAACAGATATGGAAGACGGAGCTACGTCATTGGATCGTTTGTGCTGCTCTGCAACCCTTGGCTCAAAGGTGAATAAGAAGAACTCCACCCTTCAGTTTTTGCCTTTGTAATATTAAAATAGATATGGATTCACTGCACCGCAGATGATCCAGTGTTCATGCCAACCAAGGACCAGTTAGAAGAGTATATAATCAGCGACTATGGCATGGTGTACATGGGAACTGAATTGAACGTTTGCCAGCGCCCATGGACGTATGGTCAGGTACACAACGTGCAGTGATTATTAATGTTTTGTGTATTATTTTATAGTGTCACTATAAAAGTGTTTTCCTCTGTGTGCAGTACGAACCCGGGGTTTTAGAAGCATGTCTGCAGCTGCTGGAGGTCAGTCTACAGCATTGTGCTAACCAAGACAAGGACAACGTCCTCCGAGGAGATCCTGTCTACCTGAGCAGGGTTCTGTGTGCTATGGTAGGAAAAGGAAATACTTATTCACACATATCTGACTTCTAATGTCAAGTTTTAATTAGATATAGTAAAGAGTAATTCAAAATGTAATAATAACATTTCTGAAAGGGTTGGTAAACATCATAGAGAGGCAGGGAGAATTTCTTTCTCTAGAATTTCCCTAGTGTGGGATCAATAAAGTTCATTAAAAAATAAATAAATAAAATCATTTACAAGGAATGTTCCTTCATTAGCATGTTCAATTGTAACAGGATATAGTATGAATATTTGTTGTAAGGAGTGTTCACCAAGGGCCTGGTCAGTCCTCACTCAGTGCTCTGAGATAAACATTGCAGGATAATTTCTCCTCAGATATTTTGGAAATGTGTCCCAGTTTAAATATAATTATGTCATTTCTTTTTAGAACGTTAACACAACT